CTGTTGGGAGTCTGCGATTTGATTGATTGAGTTCATCTCTGCTTTATAACATATTCCGTGGCGATTTTGTATAGGCATGAAAATGGCTGCACCTGCATCCACATGGGTGAATTTGTATAGTTAAGGACAGTTCTACAATAGTGTGCTCTGGTTTATTCTGTGAATCTTACACCGTAGAGGAAGCTGTAATCCAGAAACAGAAATATATATACCACTTTGCTAAGCTTAGCTTTAGTTTCTGTCGGTCGTTTCCTTCCATCGCTTGTTTACTTCAGTATAGTTGATAACTTGACATTGTCTTAGATTTGGAAAATGGGCATACTTTACACTTGATTGTGAGGCAGCCAGCAGAATCAGTTCCTTCATCTGGTACACCTTCAGAAGGGGCAACTCCAAATGATGGTAATTAAGTTATTCATATCCCCTTTATGAGTTTTGAAGGAGCTGTTAACACCACAATGATCTGCTTTCTAGAAACTTAATTACAACTGATTATTTGATTCAACAGGAAATAGTACAAATGGTGGAGCATCTCGAAATGGAAGACATGTCTCCCACAGCGTAGTTCTTGGGTCTTTTAATGTTGGAGATCAGACAGAAGGCATTGTTCCAGATCTCAGCCGGGTAATCCTTAAGGAATATATTGCTTGTCCTATGGGATGGTTTGATTGGGCAGGCTAACCTTCTTTTAATTTTGTGTTGCTAAGGTCATTGGAGCAGTTCTAAATTCTTTTGGAGTTGGTGGACAGCATCCTACAAATAACAGTACTAATGGCACGCAATCCTCTATGCCTGTGAGTTTTTTTCTCTTCACTCTCTACTTCGATTTTGTTTCTTATTAGTGCCGAGTCTACGATTTTGTTTTATCTGCTGGACATTTTTTTACATTTAAGGATTGTTGAGAACCAGTTGCTGTTACCATTTGATGTGTGAGGTTTCATTAGATTAGTTGATATTGTCATGCACTATTGCCTGTTTTAAACTTATTGTTGCCTGCGATTTTATTTCCCCTAGTCGAATCCGTCTTCTCATGCACCTCCTGGAAATACATCTGATGGAGCGCCTGGCATTGGTAGTCAAAGCCAAGCTACGGGTCATTCACAACCTAGGCAAGCATTTCCTGGTGTATCATTTCAAGCATCGATGCCTCGTGTAGTTCAGATTCCGGTTACAGCAGCTACGACGATTCCTATTCCTTCATTTCTAACGGTAGTTCTTAGTCACGTAGTATTTTGATCTTGAGACTAGAGCTTTAATGTTGTCATTTTACAATGTAACTCTCTAATTCTGCAGCCTATTCCGGATTCATTAGACACTCTAGTGGAGTTCATTAATCGGATGGAGCAGGCATTATCACAAATTGGTATGTGATCTAATTTTTTATTGTCATATTGGATAGAGAACACATAAATAAGTTAATTGGTTGTTCCTCCAGGCTATCAGCCAGATACCTCTTCTGCTAGATCCGGAGGGCGACCAAGGGAAGAGTTGCCTAGAAATAGACGAGGTGCAGCAACACCTGAAGCACTCTCTGTTGTCTTAAGGAATGCACAACATTTATTGAGTGGTCTAGGTGTCTCTTCTTTATCGGTAAACTCCTTCTCGCTGCTTATTAATTGATTCCATTCTTTCTCTGTACAATAAATGCTATAAGTTCTGACTTTCCGTTTCGAGAAAATGCTAAGTATATGCTTACCATGCTTTGTCATCTAACTATTTACTCTTTGTAATTGGCAACAACATTGTTGTAGCATATTGCGGGACGTCTGGAGCAAGATGCGTCCTCTTCAGATCCTACTCTAAGGGCACAAATCCAGACAGAGGCCGTGCAAGTAGGTCTTGCCATGCAACATTTAGGGGCCCTCCTACTGGAGCTTGGGCGCACAATTTTGACATTGAGAATGGCACCGTCTCCGGTGCGTTTTGTGTCATTCCTTTCGTGCATGTTCCCCTTTTTCTTCACATGCGGCTCACAAACACTTTGATCTACAGGAATTATCCTATGTGAATGCTGGGCCTGCTGTGTATATATCGCCATCAGGACCGAATCCTATTATGGTTCAGGTAACCTTCTAGTCTCATCTATTTTTCGAAATTAATTTTCTACTTTTATGTAATTTTTTAACTGTATTTTGCAGCCTTTTCCTCACCAAATCAGCCCTCTCTTTACTGGTGCTTCTGCCTCATCAAATCCAGTCACCGGACCCGTTGGTTTAGGAACTGCCCAAAGGCACATTAACATTCACATACATGCTGGTGGGTGAAGTTCACTTTTTTGCCATTGGGCTTAGCTGCACAATATTTCTCCATCAAATTTCATTCTTAATTACCAGGCACATCAGGTTCACCTATGATGTCATCGGTTGGGAACCAGCGAAGTAATGGAGAGGGAGGGCAAGGAGACCGTGACAGCATTACGAGTTCAGTTGCTACGGCTGTTCCATCACACTCTACTGGTGAGAATATTTCTGCTGGGGTTCAACCTGGTTTGGATGGGGCTGCTTCAGTTGCCCAAATCAATGCAAGGATAAGAGAAATGGTAAACATTATGCAAGGAAGAAACCAGATTCCATCGGGTAGGTTGTCTGCTGACTAAAGTTTTACATTCTGAATGAAATGTTTTCAACTTCTTCTTCATGTATCAATTTGGAACAGAATCTCTCGAGCGGGATACGTCTACGGGCCATGGTGTTGCCACTGCTATACATGAGCAGCCTACCAACATCGCAGCTACTTGCACACCTGAGTCGTCAAGTGGCTCGCTGCATGACTTACCATCTGAGAGGAGCAATTTAGTAGTATGTCTTCTCTGCAATCAGATGGTTCTTTATTTTATATTCACTAGATTTTGCCTATCACTAATTTTTGTTTTTTCAACCAGTGTCAAAGTGAAAAAGATCTTGGTGGAGATTTAGGGCATCCAGCCCATGCAAAAGATATCTCTTGTACTACAGGACAATCTTCAGCTCCATCTGGAGAATCCACAGGGAATGGGGAAAATGCTACCGGTGATGCCAAAGAAACCAAGAAGGCTACTCCAGAGGTAGCTACAGCTACACCACTTGGATTGGGGCTTGGCGGTTTAGACCGTAAGGTAATGAATGAGTTGGAAAATAATTGGCAAATTGCTGCTGCTTGTTTTTCATTGCATAGCATATCCAAAAGTCTGTGTTTCCAAATGCTTACAGTCATAATATGTTTTGTTTTATGGTTAAAGAAACGAAGCAAGCAGCCGAAGGTATCAGGTAAGAATGAAGATAGTGGGACTTTAGCTACACTTGAAGGTTTGCAACAGAGCAGTGGGACCAGTGGTCAGCAGCTTTTGGAATCTCTCTTTTCTGGTAGTTCTCGTTCAGATGAGACTGGTCTTAGACGCGGGCAAGGTTCAGATGATCGGGTAGATGTCTCAAGTGCAGTGTCTCAAGTCCTGGAGAGCCCTGCACTGGATGGATTGCTAGCAGGGGTATCTCGACAAGCTGGTGTTGATTCACCAAATATGCTGAGAAATATGCTCCAGCAGCTTACCCAGAGCCCACAGATCATGAACACAGTCCAACAAATTGCCCAACAGGTGGATGGGCAAGAGATAGAAAATATGATGTCAGGCGGATCTCAAGGCGAGGGTGGCGGCTTTGATTTCTCTAGAATGGTCCAACAAATGATGCCTCTAGTCTCACGTGCTTTTAGCCAAGGAGGGCCATCGCCTCATCCCACAACACTACAGCCTGATGATCGTCAAACTTCTCAGGTACATCTGTGTTTTCGGTTTGGATTTTTCGCGTTTTTGATTTTGGAAAAAAAGAAAAAGTGATACTATTGACTGAGTATGGATTTTGTTATTAGGGTTTATTTTTGATGTTCTGTTTGGGTTCAGTTTCTTAACGAATATAAGTTTTTCTATAAAGAAAGTTATCTTTCCGTTCGGATTTTGTTGTCTCTTTAGTTGTAGAAAAAGTAACACCATTCGTATCCTAACAATATCTACTTTGGACTTCCTATTGGGACTTTTCAGTTTCTTTTAGAATTGATCCGTTTGTTTTATCCGGATTGAACACCCAAGGTACAAGAAACGTCATTGTCTCTTGTTCTTTCTCGTGTAATGAATGTTATTTTTCTATTTTTCCAAATAGGTAAATGTTCAATCCATGGCTCAAATGATTGAGCATTCTGATCCACCAGAGGATGTGTTCCGTGCAATGGTCGAAAATGCTGCGATCAGCCAAGATGACCTAGTGAATGAGCTTTGCCGTGATGAAGTTCTTTGTCATGTAAGCATCAAACAAACTAGTTTGGTTAATAACGATAAAGTTTCCCTTCTCATACTTGTATTTGCAGGAATACGCGGAGTTGCTAAGACGTGATATTGAAGACCGGCTAAAAGATGATCAAGGTCCATAAGCTATTTGGTAGAATTGGTTCCATAAGTGTCAGATCTTTAAAGTATCTTTGTTTATTTGTTGAGATCCCTCTCTTTTGTATTAAGAATTAGGGTTTGGGATGGTCTACTATAGTAAACACAACCGTAAATTATCTGGTCTTTAAAGGGCCGATTCAATTTGATATTTCCTCCTTTAACCAGTTCATATTACTCATAACTCTCGACATTGGCAAATTACATGGAAAAAAAAGGTGTTCCTTCATATATTAAGTGACAATTTTGATTTTGATCGAAAATTTGGCCAAGGGGCTTCACTAACGAGTGATTTTAATACAAATGGTATATTTACTTTATTATTATATTAGTAGTTGATATCATTTTAAAGATACATATTTAGTTTTTTTTTTTCTTAACATCTTTTTTTACTTTACTAAAATTTGAAACAGAGATTACATCTTGATAACTTAAACATACAAGGAACCAAAAAATGATTAAAGTTTAATAAGAAAATACATCGAACAAGTGAATTATAGACATATTTAATTATTATCAAATTTTAAATAAATTTTTGAAATCATATATTTTATATTAAAATCACTTAAACTCAATTTGAACATCTCTCCTCTCTCTCTAAACCTAATCGCCGTTCTTCTCTTCTTCGACTTGGTTTTGCTCTGACCGGCGCGTGGCGGCTCCGATAGCGCCGGCGTCGGTCCTCTGTCTTGTTTATTGTCTCTGCTTTCTTCGGCGGTGAAGCGTGGGGGTTTTGGTGAAGGGGTTTGGATGGTCACAGAATCTCAGATCTGAAGAGTTTTGGCTTAAGGAGACCGGAATCGTCGTGCCTCATGGTCGTTGGTGTAGATGGAGTCGCCATTCTGCTACAGCCGTGGTTTCTCGTCTTGTCTTTGGTCAAGTGTTTCATTGTTTTGAGCATCGAAGGCGAGGTCCTTTGTCTTTCTCTAGATCAGAGAGACAGCGACTCTGTTCTCGGTGGCTCGGTAACCCTCTCGTCTCTCCTGCTTCATCTATATTTTAAGGTCTTTTATGACCTCTTTTTCTTTGATTTGGTTGTTAGCCCGGTTGACTTGCTTTTGCGGAATGTGTCTTGGAGTTTGCTAGTGGTTTGTCTCTGCTTTGCCTTTCCATGGTGTCTCTGGGCTGAGTTTTCATTCGGTTTCCTCATCTTACAAATCGCGGATGGTTAAGTTCACCCACATGTTTGGGTTTCCTCCGGTTTTGTTAGAAGGTTGGTTTGCTCGTCTTCGTTTCGCGGTTCAGCAGGATCCTCTCAGTTTAGTTAGTCGTGTGATCTTGGACTGAAAGAGTTGAGCAAGTGCGTTCATCTTCCTTCGTCAATTTCTCTGTCAGGTTTCTCGATTCGATTTCTGTATCTCGCCATGTTCGTCGTTCTCATGTATGGGCTTAATTGAGACTAAGCTATTAGCGGTTCCACCTATTTCCGTAGATTGTAATTTCCCTCGTTTGGGCTTAAGTTTCTCTCGTTTGGGCTTTTTGATGATTGTCCGCCTCTTTTGGCCTTAAGTTTCTGGGGGTTTCTATGTACCCGCCGGCTTTGTCTCCGAAAGGATTTTGTTCTTTGTCGGCTTTGTATAACTCAATCGCATTCTATCAATAGACGAAAAAATATATATATATATTAAAATCACTCGTTATATAATATTAAATTTTGAAGAAATTGTTTTTATAGTTAAAGGCTTAGGTAAAATTTTCGTTAGTTGATATTTCTATCAATTAAAATTTAAAACTGATCTTACAACCTTACTACAATACAATGATATTACAATAAAATCTAATAATTCCTTAACAAATAAGTAAGAAAGATTGGACAATAAAATCTAATAATTCCTTAACAAATAAGTAAGAAAGACTCAACCTGTCAATCAAGAAATTCTTTTATATGGATTAAAACAAAATGGTCAAAAAAAAACAACTAATAAATAGTAGACTAATTCAGAAACATGAACTGTCACGACAATCCCGATGATAAACTAGATATATTTATTTTAATCATACATGCTAGGTTCACCTTAACAACGTCATTTTCTGTGTTTTTTAGGCAAAAAGTATTTGATATCATTCGTACTCAAAAGAATACAAAAATAGTAACATAGAGATTAGAACAATAAGATCACGACCACGAACACTTCGGAAGATGAGAGATAGGTCACGGTCATTAGACATAGTGACGTTGAGAAAACTTTCAAAACCTTGACACTCACCGGCGTGAGATGCTCTAGACGTAGTTAAAAGATTATGGAGCTTGAATGATTTGTTTGGATTAGAACGCGGAAACCGAGGAAAATAAGTTACATAAAACGTTCTATCCATAATATAAGAGGGTGGGAACAATGGATTTTCTGATTTCAGATAAAAAGGATTATAGATGAGCTTTAGATCAGATACTTATTGGTTTCAAACTCTACAAATTTGTTCGGGATATCTCGATAAAAGGTCAGTCTTACGAAGCTTGATCATAATCTGAAGTGTAAAGGTGGCTAGGAGATGCTTTGGGGAAGACTCGTCATAGTTTTTGATCGGTTTAAGAAAAAGTGGCAAAACAAGGTGGTTACCTGATAGAGTGGTCCCTCCTCAAAGCCAAGAGATGTGTTATGTGTAACACACTAGAACACACAAGAACAAAGAACAAGTAACTAAAGAGATAAACTCTGTTTTGTCAATTTTCAAGTCTAATTTTTTTATGAGTTATATGACTTTGAAGTCTTTAAATACACAAAGAAAGCAAACTAATCAATCAACGATCCTAAAAATATGGAAACATAATTATGCAAATGGATAGTGGAAACGTGGAGATCAAAGTCCTATAATTAAGGACAACCTAAAGATAATCGTAATTCTTCTTTTTACTATGAAGATCTTCGGTTCAATCTCGGTTAGGATCTTATCATTACCATGGTCACACCAAACCCTACTCGAATCTAGAGATACCATGTGGAGAAGCCTAGAGCTTAAAGACTCAGAGGAAGAACTCTGAGAGAAGCATTGGAGTGGACCAGGATTCAAAAAATACTATCGTATAACTCGATGAGAGGAAGAGTGGATCTGACCAAAGAGGGAGCAGAGAGGAAGGTATCTGTCCAAACCGAGTGCACGCACCACCATCGGAGGTTGGGAGCTTCATCTCAAACTACACTCGAGGGTTGAGAGCGATGGAACACCACCAGAGAAACCAAGGACGGCGACGAGATTGAGCTAAAGCATAGCGGGGTGGGGTTTTCCGACGCCGGCGAGCCATGGGTTTACCAGAGCTGTCTCGGGAATGGTGACAGAGAGCAGCTATTTTCTCTGTTTTCTTAATTCGACCATTTTATAACTCTTTTTGTGATGATTTTTTGCAAATAATTGTTTCTTCGCTAATTTGTCTTACTTATTGTGACATTTATAGAATTAGAAAAGAGTCAAAAGACTAGATTTTTAATTATGATTATGACGAAGTCTGGAATTTCCTAAAAGAAATCTCAAATGGTATCGCCAATTTATGATTTTATTTCATCCAAATTGAGCGAAAAATGAATGAATGTTGCAATTCCTTCATTTACGACGATGCAAAAGAGAAACATTGATTGAATAAAATCAAACCAACTTCAATTAATATGGTATGCTTTGTGCATTTCACTCTCGATCTTTTGAATATTCAAAGTTGTATGAAAACTAGTTGTGTTACTTTTTGTAAATATCAATATTTGATTAGATTTTTTTTGTCTTAGTCACACAACAACAATGCTTTTGATGATCAGGCTTCATAATACATTCACCATATAAGTCATAGGCTATTCGTGCACAAAAAAACAAGCATCCTTCGGGCCCATTTTTACACGGTTCTGGGCTGTAGCATTTATCTTCTTGCTTTATTTCAAAACCTATATAATAATAATAATAATAATCAAGAGATCAGTATATAGATTCATATAAAAAGATAAACAAAAATATGTCAATAAGAAAAAGTGGTTGCTTTATAATAAGGTAGTATCAGAAGTGTTATCGGATTCCGAGCAATAAACGAAAGGCATGACAAAGAGGAGAGTGAGAACAAATGCAGCAAAACATTTCTTGGTGATAGCCATTTCTGTTATAGTCTCTAAAAGTTCTTACAACAAATTTTACCACTTACAATGATTATATATAGAAGAACAGAAACATACATTAAAAGGTTGTTTGTTTGGTGAAAGATGAAAAGGAAAGAATCTATAATTTATTTCTCTTGATTTAGTCAAAATAAAAAATAAAGACAAAATAATTATTACCTAATTATGTCTGAATATTAATTAGATAACATATAATGTTTTACAAATAGTTAAATATGAAATACCTTTTCATTGATTTAATAATTAAAAAAAAAAAAGATTTTGCAGGTTTTAATGGTTGTAACTTGAAATTAAATAGAAATTATTGGTAAAGATAAGATGTAATAATTTTATTTAAACAGAATTAGGTTATATAAATTCTTTTGTTTGATATGATTCAAGGGTTTACATGGTTTATTAAATATACTTAAATAACTTGTTTTTAGACCATATATTTTGATGATAAAATAACTTGTTATATAATATCTAAATGTGAAATTTAATGATTTCTATAGTTAAATTTTTTCATTATTTTTAAAGCAAAAACTCATGTTTCTAAAGTTAAAACTGATCTTACAGCTTTATATCCAATAAATATTTAAGAATTTGAGATTACTAAAAAATGTTAAAATATTGCGCAACAAATATTAAATGTAAATTTGTATGAAACATATAACTTGTTTTATTAAATATACTTAAATAACTTGTTTTTAGACCATATATTTGTATGATAAAATAACTTGTGATATAATATCTAAATGTAAAATTTAAAGCTTTCTATAGTTAATTTTTTTAATTATTTTTAAAGTAGAAACTCATGTTTCTAAAGTTAAAACTGATCTTACAGCTTTATATCCAATAAATATTTAATAATTTGAGATTACTAAAAAATGTTAAAATGTTGCGCAACAAATATTAAATGTAAATATTGCACAACATATAATGTTTTACAAATAGTTAAATATGAAATACCTTTTCGTTGATTTAATAATTAAAAAATAAATAAAAAGATTTTGCAGGTTTTAATGGTTGTAACTTGAAATTATTGGTAATGATAAGATGTAATAATTTTATTTAAAGAGAATTAGGTTATATGAAATCTTTTGTTTGATATGATTCAAGGGTTTACATGGTTTGTTAAATATATTTAAATAACTTGTTTTTAAACCATATATTTATATGATAAAATAACTTGTTATATAATATCTAAATGTGAAATTTAATGCTTTCTATAGTTAAATTTTTTTAAAAGAAAAAACTCATGTTCCTAAAGCTAAAACTGATCTTACAGCGTTATATCCAATAAATATTTAATAATTTGAGATTACTAAAAAATGTTAAAATATTTGCGCAACAAATATTAAACAAACCCAATCGAGAGAAAAAATTTATATGGATTTAAACAATGTTTAAACAACAACTAACAAATAGAAGAATGATAATAACGAATTGTTGTGAAATAATTGCAATGATACGGGGAAATGGGAATGATACGTACATATTTAATTGTGTTGTAAATGTTCATACTAAAGTCTCTCGCTCTTCTAATGCACCTGAGTATTGGTCCGGAATTCAACATTAAAATAATGTTGGCTTATCTCTAGTTTCTCAGAAATGCATATTCAACTCACCTCAAATCCGGCTATATATATATTTTCATGGATATTATGGTATATCTGGAAAAGTTGTAACAGATTCTGTTTTGTAAACTTTAAAGAACCTCTTCATGAGATCTTGGCCTTGGCCTTACAAGAAGCCTCTGTTTGGAAGAAAGCGAACTCGAAAGAAGCGGCAGATCCTGAGCCTCTCGCCGGCTCGGTTTTACTAAACTCGCCCCTGTCCCGGATCTTAGAATGTCAGAAGGATGCTTCCTGGCATTCGGAGGACTCCCTAAGTGGACATGGCTGGGTTTTAGTCGACCAAGACCGTATTCTCCAGCTTGGCTTAAAGAGTTCGAGACGAAGTCTCTCACCACTCCACGCAGAGATTAATTCCTTGCTTTGGGCAATGGAGTGTTTAATTTCGCAAGACTTTACTTCTTGCGCCTTCGCATCCGATTGTTCGGATATGATATCTCTCCTTGACAACCAAAACGCTTGGCCAACCTTCGCAGCAGAAATGGCCTCTTTCCGATCACTCGTTTGTTTTTTCCCTTCTTTTAGTATTAGATTCCTTACTCGTAGTTCAAATACTTGAGCAGATTGTCTGGCTAAAAATGCTCGATCTCGCAACAGTCTCTTTTCCCATGTAAGCTCGTCGGTTCCTGATTGGCTCTCCCTAGCGGAGAGTCTCTTTCCGATATCTTAATAGAAATGGTGTTTGATGAAAAAAAAAAAAAAAAAAAAAAAAAATCCGGCTATTTACAGTGATAACATTAGAGCAACAAACCTGACGCCACTCCGATCTTTACACTCGGATAAATCATATTGTTTTAGATTATCACTTTGTTCGCCAATATGTACAAGCAAGCCGGTTATTTTTGTGTCTCTCATGATGCCTATGCTGATCAACTCATAGATGTTTTAACCAGCTACTTCCGTGTGTTCGGTTTACATTTATG